CCATCACCATTTGCAACCTGGCCTTGGAAGTCATTTCCCATTGCCTTTGCAGGAATCTATTCATCAAGGCCAATGCCTCCCACCCCACTTCAATGTCCTGCATCTTATGGGGGAATAACAAGGTTCTGGGGAAGAATGTGAGACCAGAACTATAACCGTGGTCATTTCTGGAAAATACAATCTGCTGTGGTCTCTAAAAACTGACTGTATTCCAAACCCAGATGACTACCCATAGCTACCTTGTTTATGTGTCATGGATTCATCCACACAGAGAGATCAAATCATTCTCATTTCATGATTTTTGAAGTAGGAACTCAAATTGGCTCACGTTGAGTCAGAAAACTCTCACTTGGTCACATCAGCTATGGCATCTGGAGTTTGGGCTGCATGAAGGGAGTGCGATCCTATGGCATGAATATAGCAGGAAGAGGAAAATGCTCCAGTGGAAGGTGGGACAATTTTACAAGCAGGTAGAATGACTTTTAGCTCTCAGGACAACCCAGAAAGTACCAAAGCACATAAAGCAGATTAAATACATATATACTCTCAAAGGAGACAAGCTTAAAACAACATGACACAGAAAGGTTATATGTAAAAGGATAGGCAAAGTTTATCAGGCAAATGCAAACAAAAAGGAAGCTGGGTTAGCAATATAAATATCAGCAAAAGCGGACTTAAAGGCAAAAAAGGCATTAAATAGGACCAAAAGTGGTATTTAACATTGATAAAGGGTGCAATCCACAAATAAGACATAAGTATCATGAGTTTTTTTTTTTTTGCTGAATAATGTAGCTATGAAATATATAAAACCAACTCCATAACAAATACAGGGAGAAAATGACAGAAACACAAGAGTAGTGGGAGACCTTAGCACACTTCTCTCAATCGTTGACAGATTAAGTAGGCAAAGAATGAATTACAGTACAGAAAACTGAATAATGTATACCATGTGGCTGATTTAATAGATATAGGTCAATTCTGTACTCTATCAAAAGAAAATATACCTTTTCTCTAAGTACTTATAAAATATTTATAAAAATTGATCATATTTTAACCCACAACAGAAAACTCAACAAGTTCTAAAAAGCAGAACTTAAACAGGGCCTGTTCTCTGAGCATAGTACAATAAAACAGAAGATTAATGGCAGAAGTTCAAATCAACAAATCCAAACACTTTGAAATTCAATGACAGTCTACTAAATAACTCCTGGGTCAAAGAGGAAATCGAGGGTGCAATTATAGATCATTTAGGGCATGACCACAATGGGAACACTACGCACTGATGCCCATGGGATAGTGCCAGAGATAAATCCACAGCTAAGACTCCACTATTTACAGACAACAGTGAGAATAAATGGAGTAAAGATTCAAGCCAAGAAATTAGGAAACAATAACAAATGAAAACAAGGAGATTTAGGAGGCAGGAATAAACAGATCCAAAGGTTAAATAATGCTTTCTCTTATGACCATTACATAAAAAGAAAACATTATTTGTTTATTTATCAGATAATAAAAAATAGCAGATGATATATAGCGTGGAAGAGGTAGTTCTATGAAAAAGAATAATGATTTGAATAAATTGTTAACTCAGAAAACAGTGACATGGAAAATTAAGAACAAGAAAATGGATATACCCTAATATACGGAGATTGTGAGGTGGGATGATCATGTTATAGTTTTAAGCTAATAAAAAGTTGAAAGTAGCCAATGGATGAGTATTTAAAAAAAAACACACAGTAACTACTGATTGAATCCAGCATTAGAAAGGGTGAGTGAATCAATACGTAAGGATTGTGTTGTTGCATACGAGAAGACAGTCTACCTAATGGTGAAGGATGCAGGCCCCAGCCAACCTGTGGTTGCTCCCCAGCTTCACCTGCTCTCTGTGTAATACTGAGCGAAGTATTCAACCTCTCCACACTTCAGTTCCCTTATCTATTCATTGGTGATGGTATGAAATAACACAAGCCCACCCTCTCTCACTGGCCTACAGCAGAACTTGATTCAGAAGGCAGTGTCTACTTCTTCCTTCAAATTTCCAAAGACTAGATATTTCATATGCTATATGAATAGTTTCAAGGCATAGAAAAAGACAGAATACTATTCATTTGGTTTTATAAAATCACTACCTTAATACAACAACAGTTTTAGCACAAAAAATTAACAGTTTTATATATCTTATGTATGTATGTAAGTATGTATACATTCATTAAAGATAAGCAACTAAAATCCAGTGATGTAATAAAATAACCAGATACCAGAATCAGATTAGGTATTTTCCAGGAATAGATGAATGGTTAAATATGAAGAAATCTGTCATTCTACTTTGTCACACTGCTAGGCAACTGAGAGTGTTTTGAGTTAGAAATGTCGCTTTTAGTTATTATTTTAAGAACATGATAAATGATCAAAAATTTATGCTCACAGATGTTTGGTGTAACATTATTAAACTTTTAAACCATTTAAATACCAAAAAATATGGGACCGCTTAATTGTGCTTACATATATTATACTTCAATATAGTATGCTTAAATGATACATAGACTGTTCTCTAGAAAGACCATTGTGAAGCTTCATGAAAGATTTCAAAACATGAAAATGTTTTCAGATATGCTGTTCATTAAGTATGCACGAGATTAAAGCAGTATGTGCAACATGCTAATCTCTGGGAAAACTACACATTTTTTCTGTATCTAGGTAGATATTTGTATCAGCATTTTGTTTGTCTTTTTGCTTTTGCCACCATAAAAATGCTCCAATGAATAGCCTCACACATTTGTCATTTTGCACAACTGTCAGAATCAAATCACCATGTTTTAATCCATTTTAGAACTGGAATTCGTATGCAAAATGACATAGAGCCAAGATTACTCATTGCGATATTGTTCAAGTGCTTGTGTATGAGTGTACATGCATGAACACACACATTTTCTTTTATGAGAGGAGAGAAATAAAAGGAAGTACAACAAAATGTCACAATGGTTATTTTAGGGCAGTTTTAATTTTCCTCTGTTTACTTAATTTAGAAAGTTTCTTGTTAATGCCAAGGTAGGAATAAAACCAAATGCGAGCAAAACATTTTCAGTGAGATTCAAAGTAAAGGAAAATCACTGGACTTGCAAGCCAAATATCTAAATTCAAGACATTTATCTTTTTTAAACCGTATCTGTTAAAAATTTACAGAAAAGATTTCCATGAAGGTATTTAAAGAGTTTTGTCCAGGGTCTGGCTAAGGGTAGGCCAATAATATATTTTCATTTTGCTTCACTGCATTCTCCATTCACAGGAAGATCATTGTGAGGTTTTTTTGTTTGTTTGTTTGTTTTTAATGCATGTGACCATGTTCAGCACAGGGTATAGAGCACAATCAGCTTTCAGAAATCATCAACTGAACCTGAATTATCCAATTTGGATCCTGACACAAGACACTAGAAGCACTTCTCATCAACTGCCAGTCTCTACCAATCAAGCAATGTTTTCCTATTTCTTGTACTTTTCTCTCTGGTGCCACCACATTGCTTGAAAACAAAAATAAATTCTGCCCTTTTGCTGAAACCCATGCCCCTACTAGATGGTGTGCTTGGCAGATTAAAGAGTCCAGTTTTAATCCAAGAAATGATGTAATGATTCCATTGGTTTAGGAAATTTTGTCTAGCAGGAATACACAGGATGACTTGTCTTGGAAGTGGCTAGAGACTAGAGCTAAGACAAATCTTGAGAAATAGATATATCTTGGACTTGGATTGATAGAGCAGATATAGGACAAGGACTATTTAATGGATATGGAGGGTGAAGAAAGGGAAATGGTAAAAAAAATAATAATAATAACTCAAATTTCACATTCCAAGAGCATGGAACATTAGCACCATGGACAAAATCTGAGACATAGAGAAGAAATTATAATGATTCGGGGTAAGGACAAAAATTTTAAGGCAATGTGCTTGAGTGGTTTAAAATCTAACTTTGTAGATTAGATGGACCTCTGGCTAAAGGAGTACATTTACTTTGGAACCACCAGTTTGGGTAAGAGGATAAAGGCCCCAAGTACTGCTGAAGTTTTTATAAAGATACCTGAGTTTTATGCAGCCACTGTATTTAGGGACTAGAAGATAAAAAGGGATACATTGAAGGAGAAGGGAATGAGTCATCAGAGAGTATAATTCAACAAGTAGAAAAGATGATTAAATAACAAGATGCAAGGAAACAGGACTGATATCCGACCTAGCCTCACAAGGATGACAAGCTGCAATCCATGGTTTCGTAAACTAAAGCAAAGATCTCACTCTTCCTCACCTTTCTTCAGCTGAAATTAGATGCATGCACCCTTGAAATACAAGAATACAATATTGAGCTAAAGCAGTAATATAGTACTGGCAAATATTTTCGTTCAAACAACTTTAGAAGCCGTTGGAATGCCTTGAACTGCAAGCTGTGAAAACTAAGGCTTGATTAATTTTGTGTATCACTCAATCTAGGTGGACTTTTTGCATTATGAATAAAGGAAAACTTTTTGAATGGTTGGGCTGTGTCCTCTAAAGGCAGGATAGAGCCCAGAATCCAGGACTCCTGATCTTGGACAGTGAATACTTCTGCATCTCAGGATGCACCCAGACCTTGCATCACAGCATCCTCCTTCAGATTAATCACACCTTAACATACCCCCTCACACACGAAGAACCTACTTTCCCTGCCTGGTTCCCCACCCCATGTAAGTATACTTGCCAAATGCTTCTTGGTCTCCATGTACCCTCATCCCAACCAATCCTCTGTGGCTGGTCAACCAGATTGAGAGATGTGGGTGGGTCACCATGGCAACAGAGGAAGCCCTGGTGCAGAAGTAAAGAGACAGAAACAGCAAGAGAAGTTTCTCTGAGGCTAATGTACTTTTTCCCTGCCTTTCTTAGAAGTGCTTCCTTTGAGGAAGAGAAGCTGCTGCTGTGTTGGAGAGACAGTGGAATACCTGAACTCTTCTTTATAAACTTCTTTTCCATTACTTTCAGGTGATCATCAGTATAATCATCCGATTTTAAGCAGTGCTACCCAGACCCCAACACATGGTGAGAGATGATTGGGAACACTCTGTATTCCATCCTCATTCAAGTGGCTCCATTCTAACCACTGATGCCTGACAGGGCATCAACGCATGAAGCTGGAAGGTGCAAGAAGCCACGTGCTTGCCTTCCTCCATGGCCACAATGCTTGCCTCTCACTTTCAGACCATTGTCCCTTGGTGTTTCTCTCTCTGATATCACAATGATCTGCCATGAAAGGAAACAAGCTAGAGCCTCTATGCACCCATTTCTGCTTGCAGTTGACATCATTTCTTGCAAGCCACATTACTTCTTGACTCACGAATTCCGTATGTCCATGGCAAGGAGTGTAATACTCTCCTTGCCCAGCGCTACTTGTGGTATCCTTTACGGATGACATGAGAGTTGGTTAAACTCTCTCCATCCTCCCCAAACTAATTAAGATTTGATAAAACTAAAAGCTGATTTGGGCCCTAGCTTCTTGGCAGGGGGATAGACTAAAAGAAGTCATAAAGCTGAAGAATGTTCACACGGTGCCAGAGGATCACAAAACCATGTTTTCCACTTAGGTTACAGTGTCCTCCCACCAGATCACAGCTTCACATTTGGAACCGCAGAGGAAAACTATTTTTTACACCTGCTCAAAAGTCGGCAGAACATAAGACAGCCATGTAAATTGTGAACTATCAGTCATTCCTGTCTCTTTGCTGTGAAAGGATGAAAGCTTCATTAGAATTTTAGGGAGACAGAAACTCAAAACAAAGGTAAAGTCTTCAGCCCACCTGATAGAGACACCCGCCATTCTCGTGTCAGGTTGAAGGACGTGATAATCACTGGAGGTCCATGGGGTATTTTTACATGCCCTCAAGTGCTGTACTTCTGGTGGAAGAATGAGTATGCGATGAAGGCAGAAATATAACCCGATGTTTCAAGTTGTGGGGTTTAAGAAAAACTAGAAATGGAGAAATTGGAGAAAACAGTTCAAAAAAGCTGATCCTAATGGTGATGTTGACAGTGGGGGCAGAGAGGAGGATTAAGATTTCAGATGTTTTGAACAAAAGATTGAGACAGCTTTGTCACTCATTGAATATGGCTTGTGTGAGCCAGTTCTGAGTAAAATCTCAAGCCAAGATGAATTAGAAGAAAGGGTGCTGAGTCTTAACACCAAGTAAGGAATCAGAGAAACCGTCAGCATCTACAGCGGATGGAGTTGTTGTTTGTGAGCTTGCATCTAGAGACCTGGAGTTTGACGAGACCATAGGATATGCAAGAAAAATTATTCAACAGACAGTTGGGGATGCAAAAAATGAATTGTGCAGAGAGGCTGGAGCCGAAGACGTAAGTTATGCTTTGCAGGCAGTAACAGAAGCCTCGGGAGTAGGGACAATCTGTGCAGAAATGCTGAAAGAGAAAAGCAGAAGGCAGAGGCAGGGAGCCTGGGGGATGCCCGTGGTGATAAAGCAGAAACAGGAAGAGGAGCCAGAAAAGGCAAGCGAGGAGAGCTCCTACATTCTGAAAGAACAGCCACTGAGCTGGTTTCCCAGAGGGAGCCAACACGTGCACACACTCCCAAATACAAGGAGAGGAACCATTCTTCCCTCCTTCTCTTCTTCCTGTCTTCCCTCCTCCAGTCAGTGCAAGGAGGAGGAGATGGACCCAGTCCCTGTCCTTGAGTGGTTCACACTGCAGTGGAGGCACAGTTTTCTCTGCAACCCCTTCTTGGATACTACACATTTTCCAGGAACTGGCAAAGCGAATAATTGGAGTCTGAGTGGACTCTGATTAACCAAAGAGCATTAATAAGAGCCTTATTTTGTTCCAAGTGCAGTAAAGGAGGTAGAAAAAGTGGCTAAGCAAGACTTCTCCTACCAAGGAGATTGCAGTCTTTGGAGATCAACAAGATCACCTCAAGTTGATTTTTTTATAGAGAGCAGTTAGATGCTAAACTAGGTGAAACTGACAAGACAAGCATGAGCAAAGTTGAAGAGCAGATACCTTTGTGGGCATCAAAGATGTAACGCTGTCACAGCTAGGAGCCTTCAGTGAAGTCAGAATCCAATAGAGGAAGCACAAGGCGAGACGTTTCAGTAGGAGCCAGAGCATCAGCAAAGGAGCAAGGGTAGTCATGGTGGGGGCAAAAGGCAAGGCAGAGCTGTCATGTTTCACTGAAGGGCAATGGTACCCAGAAATAACTGCATTTGGAAGAGGGTGAGCTGAGTGATGCCCTCAGTGGGAGGATGAGACCCACTGGCAGAAAGAAGTTCCATCTTCTCCGACATGGACCGAAGTGAAGCAACAAGAGCTAAGGGATTAGTGGCTATTAACCACCTCTTGAAAGCAGCACTCCCAGCTTCCTGCCCACTCCATTTCCTGGCATTTGTCCTGGTCCATGCCAGGGAGGCTCTTTCGGTACAGCATGTTCTGATCTCTCAGGGATACGAGCATTCCCCACCCCCTCACATATGTACCAAGCTGGCAGGAACAGCAGCTTATTGGCTGAGCTTCCCTGGCTCAATCCCCAGTTTTGGGGGTGACAGTGCAGGCAGGAAAGGAATAGAGGAGCTAGGAGTTCCCTGTGCACGGGGCTGCCCTAGGACAAGTCATACAGGGGCTTCTTTATGCTCCATGGCATAGAATTCCTATTGTCTGTGGTTTCCTACAGTTCTCTTACACATCTGTCTAGAGTTAGAGCCCACCCCTTATCAGAATTTCTTTGGTCCTGAGAGTTCCCAACCAAAGAGACTGGAGAATTGATGCAACCAGACAGCAGCCTCCCAAACACCTCATACCTGAGAATAGTACCACTGTTTCCCCTGGCAACCACCTGCTGATTTCTTCTTGTGGTGGGTGCCTCCTCCTGTCAGTCAATCGCCATGGCATGCTTGTCTTCCTTCCTGGGACCTCCATTCCTCTCTGCCCCCATCTCCCACCTTCCCACAGCCACTCCCTCACCCAGTTCTGCATTCCTTCCTTCCTCTCCTGTGCTGTCTCTAATCTGGTCCCCCAGAGCCCAGCTTGCCCTGCATGGTGTCCCCAGTGGTCATGCACTCACTTCCCTTTCACTTTGTCTTCCATTCTTTTCCGCAGGTCTGGAATTGAACAAATGACTTTCTCTCTTTCATTTTTGATTTATGAATCTCAAGGCTTTCTTCCTTCCCAAGGCTTTATTCTGGGGGGAAGAATGTGCCAAGCATTTTTGTCTATATTATTTTCCCCAGCAGCTTAGAGGTGGCTAAGAGGGCTTTGGAGAAAGGAATTAAAGTAAGATACAATGGCTGTGTCTCTCAGAGTGGCTTGTCAGGCACTGGGCTTGCAGAGGCCCATGGTGGAAGGAGCTATGTGAGAGGTAGAGTGACATGATGGACAGAGCATGGGTTGGAGTCTCAGTGAGGCTGTGTGCTAGATTTAGTTCTCCCTTGGGTACGCACACAAATCCCTCCACCAGCTGCTCCAAACTCAGATTTTTCCCAAGCCTGACAGCTGGGTTTATCTAAAGCTACTAGGGAAGGGACAGCCCTGGCACATGGAAGTAGATGATTTTAGGATGCCCCTCAGCTCCATCAGGCCTACATCTTCATCAAACAACCCAGAGATGCATTTGGAGACTACTCCTTAGTCTCAGAGTAGAATCTGCTATTCAAAGAATGGTCAACTGCTGTGGTGGGTGGCCAGAGACAGCTAAAACAGCACCACCTGTGTCCCAGCACACAGGGTCAGGGAAGCAGGATGTGGGCTCTCATCAGGGATGAGGCAGAAAATGAGAGGGAACTTGGGTGCTTCCTTCTTGTCTGCACAGCCTTCTCTTTCTCTGATGCAATGCACCCCTCCCTTTCCTTGCAGAGAAGCCACGGATGAACAACATCCTGACATCAGCCACGGAGCCCTATGATCTTTCTTTCTCCCGCTCCTTCCAGAACTTAGCCCATCTACCCCCATCCTATGAGTCTGCGGTGAAGACCAACCCAAGCAAGTACTCATCTCTGAAGAGACTAAGTAAGTCGGGTTTCCTCCAGGGTTGGGGTGTGCCCCTGGGGCCTCGAGGAAATCCTCTTGGATCTCACTGTCTTGCCCCTAAACCAAGAGGACTGGTGAGAAATCTCAGGAACAAAGAGAAAGCTGGAGAGAGGAAGAAGAGACAGCCCCTGGCTTTTGTTATTGAGGGCCTGAGCCCACTCTCCCAGCCTCAGAAAGAGGCTGCAGAATCCTCAGATCCACAGTCCCATGGGAGACAACACTTCAATGCGTGCACCACTTAAACTGTAAGGGAAAACCTTCCCCCAACCTGTACCCCACTTGCCTTCTTCAAACCATGGACTTACAGTTGCTTTATATCTTACCTTGTAATAGAGGCTAGCGATGGCCAGAACTTCTTTGTGACCCCTCCCAGAGAACCACAAGCCAGCTCCCTCTCTAACCCAGCCAAGACTGTCTTAAGGACCTGAGACTTCTCATATCTCTCATAAGCACTAGGTCATTAGCCAACTCCAGTCCATCCAGTGATCTCAGATCTACCACTTGGGTCTGGAGAGAGTCCAAGCACTGATAAGTTTAAGACATTAAGATGTCAAGAAAACACATTGAGGGACAGCTCTTCTTTCCTGGTCTCTGACCCTGGGGTCTTCTCCTCTGATTTCCCCCATGAGTCTCTTTTGATGATCACCCAACTGAGTTGGAGCCTCCGGGCAGAGCGTTTGCTTGAAACTTCAGAGTAGCCTACCCTGGCCTAAGATCGGGTGCACATGACCCACCTCATGGGTGGGTGATCTGACGGATGCCCCAAAAAGAGGGAGTATGGTTCAGGAGGCATAATGTGCCCATCAGTGAGCCCACCGGGCCAGGGGAGGAGCAGTCAGCCTTCGTACACTATTCAGAGTTCCACGAGGCTTTGCTTCTGAAATCTGGGGCATGCAGGGTTGTGTGTGTCCTTGGTAAGCTCAAAGGCACAGGGGGCAGTGTGAGTGTGGAGGGTGTACTGGATGCAGAGAGGTGGAACATTTGAATGAGGTACACATGGAGACTGTTGTAGGCTGCTTGTGTTGTGGGCACAGGCAGAGTAAGTGTAGGCTGCTGATGCCGGTGTGTGTGGGGACTGGGTGCCCATGTGCTGGCTTCCTGTGCATTGGCTGTTACTCCAGAGAAGGTGTTACTATGTTCCTAAGTTACCAGTGAGGCATTTTCACAAGTGCCTCCTAGCCGGAGCATCTTACTTCATTCCAGCAGGAGGCTGCTTCTGCACCCCAGCTTTCATCGAGAAATGCTCCAGACCACATCGGGAAGCTAAAAGCTGCTCCCTGAGCATTTTAGCAAGACAGGGAGCCATTCTAAGTCAGGATCGCGGTGTGGCAGATACTGCATAGGAGCAGGGCAAGTCCAAGGATCTGAGCTTGCCATCAACTCGGCCATGAACTCCCTGGGGATCTAGAGGAACTCCTTTAACCTCTGACCACTCAGGGTAGTCCTTGGACCAGGGCATCTCAAACCTGACAGCTTGTGAGAGATGCATATTCTTGGGCCCACCCTACACCCCTTCCTCCTTCCCCCTCCCCAGAATCTGAACCTGCATTTAATAAGCCCCAGAGAGGAGTTTGCACATTGCATAGAGACCCACTGCCTTCACCTACCTGAGCCTGCAAGTCCTACTCCACAAACTACAGAGGTCTACCTGTTAGCCCTGAAGGCTTACAGCTGTGTAGCTGAGTGGAAGGAGGTGGGGTTCTACCTGAGTCCTAGTGTGATGTCACCCCAATTGTCTTCTCTCTCTGTCTCTCCCCTATAGCTGACAAGGAAGCTGATGAGTATTACATGAGGCGGAGGCACCTGCCTGACCTGGCTGCCCGCGGCACCCTCCCCCTCAATGTCATCCAGATGTCACAGCAGAAGCCGTTGCCAAGGGAACGACCCCGCCGGCCCATCAGGGCCATGTCCCAGGACAGGGTCCTGTCCCCACAGAGGGGCCTGCCGGATGAGTTCGGCATGCCCTACGACCGCATCCTGTCCGACGAGCAGCTTCTCTCCACGGAGCGCCTGCACTCCCAGGACCCGCTGCTGTCCCCAGAGCGGACGGCCTTCCCCGAGCAGTCGCTGTCGCGGGCCATCTCGCACACGGACGTCTTTGTGTCCACGCCTGTGCTGGACCGCTACCGCATGACCAAGATGCACTCCCATCCCAGTGCCTCCAATAACTCCTACGCCACCCTGGGCCAGAGCCAGACGGCAGCCAAGCGCCACGCCTTCGCCTCACGCAGACACAACACAGTGGAGCAGCTGCACTACATCCCCGGCCACCACACCTGCTACACGGCCAGCAAGACCGAAGTGACCGTGTGACCGGTGGCGAAGGGTCAGGGCCACTGGGCAGGACAGGGATCTGGAGCAGAGCTTCTAGCCTGGAACCTCTCCCTCCTTGATCTCTTCTGTTAGCAGTGGGGGTGGCCAGCTTTGTCCAGAAAGCCACACCCCCAGGGACACCACCCTGATGGCCTGGCCCAGTACGCTCAGACCCGACATCCAGAGCGATCATTCTCCCTCTTCCCACAGAGTTGGCGGTGGGTGAGCGGGGCAAGCCCCTCCCCGCCCCGTGCAGCCCTCCACCACCTTCACGAACTCCCTTCAGTCTCACATCCCCACCTCCCCTTCCAGGGGACTCAGCCGCAGGTTCTGCCAAGAGACCCTCGCCTGACCCGGAGCCCACAGCTGCCTGGGTTTCCATTGGCCAGCGGGTGCAGCCAGTGGGCTGACCGAAGAAACAACCTGGTCTCATTCCTTTACCTAGAACCACATCACAGAAATCTTCTAGTGCCTAAAAACTGCCTGCTCGCTCTCTCACAGCCGGAGAGCTGCTGTGTTCATAAGCACAATAACGATTCTCTGCTGCCTGCTGGAACTCTCTGGTCCCTGCCGAGTGGCCCTTCCTTCGCTGACCCCGTAGGGCCCCACCTTGGCCCCTGGCCCTCCCCTCAATCCTGAGTTCAGGGAGAGCCTCCCCTCCCTCCCCAGTTTCAGCTGGCTGCCCTGCCCTCTCTCCCCTGGGGGGCCATGCTCCTCCCTGTGCCCTGGCTATGTTACCCCTGAGTTCTCTGGGGCTTTTGCTCTTGCCCTCCCAGAGAGAGGGTAGCAATGAGATGTAGGGACTTTGGAGATGCCCCCCACAGCCACCCAATCCCCTGCACACTTCCTCCAGGCCTCTAGGTCTGAGCTTTGCCCGTCACTCAGACCTACCTTTCCTCCCTCCCCTGGAGGCACCTGTAGGAGTCAGGGCGGAGAGGGCCACTGTGATGCCCGGGGTCTCAGGGGCTGCCCATTCCCATAATCCAAGGCTCTGTCTATCTCCTCCCATGAGTTCAGGGCAGGATGGAGGCAGAGGCTTCTAGAGAGAAAATACTCATCCCCCAAGGTGGTTGCCCTGCACCCTGCATGCTCTTATCACCCCATCTGCCCGCCTCCCCTTCCCCCTGCCCTCAGCTCCATTCCTCCCTCCTGGCTGCATCTCCTCAAGCAAGGGTACTCCAGGCTGTTGGTCTGGGGGCTGACTGCGCAGCTTCTCACTGCATCAGTCCCTCACTGCAGGGGGCGCTCGAGTATGTGGCAGATGACCCCTGCCCTCTGCCCTGGGAGGCCACTCCACTGGCAGCCCATTTCAGCCCCATCTCTGCCTCTGGTCTGAGTGGGGTAGGGTGGGCAGGACATCATAGGCTCTTGGGGAGCCTCACAGGGAACCCAGCTGGATCTACTCCCCCTAAGACCAGAGCCTGGGGCAGCAGGAAGGCGGCAGAGAAGGGGTTCCCCCATTCTCAGGGCCAGGGCACCTCCCTGGGCTGGGGGGGAAATCAGCCCCAGACAAATGAGTGAAGGGAGTGAAGCCCTTCAATAGGCTTTCACTGCCCTCAGTTCTGCATGGATGACCCTGCCAAAAGTGGGGGCGGGGTGGTGGGAGAAGTCCTTGGTGTCATCCCTGGGAACTGTGAATCTCACCACGTCCATGGCCGCAGGGAAATCCATGGACTGCCTCCCTTACTGATTTCACGAATCCCAAAGCTCTCCCCGACGTGAGGAAACCCTCGCATGTGTCACAAGGGGATGAAGATTTGGGGCTACGAACACAGCCCCGGCTTCCCCCAACTCTGTCCAGGGCAGTGTCCCTGGGACTGTGGGGGTGGGAAGCCAGGGTTAGCTCCTCGCTTTCCTCCCCTACAAACACATAAACCTTCAAAAGGGCTGGTCCTCATGGGTTTATGAGTGTTTGTTTCAGAAGGTGAGGCTCAGAGGATTGGAAAGGAGGACATCAGTCTACAGACAGCAGTCAATCACTCCCAGAAACAAAAAAGCTTGTCTCACAGTTGAGCCCATAAGCTCAGTACCCTTTAATCATCCCACCCCTGGCCAGTTCACATTCAGGCTGCCTGTTAGTGGGGAGGGGAAAGGACCGGACAGACGTAGGTGGGAACTCCCTCCCCAGGTAGCTACAGGCGTACACACCGAGCCAGAAGCCTGATCTCATCCTGCACCTGCGTCATCCGAATGCCAAGTTCTCCTGCCCTCCTACTTTCCCCAGGCTGCCTCCCACCTCCACCCTGTCTCTGACAAGGTGTCTGTCTGTCTGTCTCAGGGGTTGTTTGATAGGTTGATTCCAAAAGATTTCTCATTCCAGCCTTACCACTGTCTGGTTGAAAGTCTCTGACATCAGTTGGATCAGAAAATTCTACTAGAATGCTTTTAAAGCATTCCTTCTGCTTCACCTTTAGGTCTAGAAGTCATGAATGGAGGGGGAGGAAACAGGGAGAAGTCTACAAACTTGCTCTAATTCAGTCCCCATTTCAAAATCCAGCGAACTTTCTTAACTGGGACATGGATACAAAGAATATATATAGAGGGCCTGGTACCATTTGTGGTTTCCTGCATCTTGGAATGACTGTCTCCTATTTATTCAGCCATCCCACCCATCTTTAAGGAACCAGTTCACACAGCCTGATAAGAGAGGGTTCTGGGGCTGGAACCCAGATGTTGTGACTTCCGGGCCACGGGCCTCTGCCATCCTGTCCCTGGAATAAAGCCCCCTCCCCCTTAGCAGGGGAAGCTGAAAGCCCAGGGTCTCACTCTACTCCTTCTGTTCTTTCTTGCATGCCTTCACTGCCCAGATAGGAATGGACCAGGGCATGCACAGGTTCTCTCCTGCCCTGAGAGGTCTTCCTGTTCTCTTGGTCTGTGGTGGCTGTGAATCTCCCATCATCCCTTGTGCTCTCGTACCTCTCCTGCTTTGCTTCCTCCAGTTAACTCCTGGCTCTATGCCTTTGTGATTCACCAAGGGCAAGAATTCCTCCTAACCAGGTGTTTGCCCTCAGAGCTCCCCTGTGTCTTGGATGATAGGTTTACCCTTTGAAAATTCCCATCTTTCTCCGTAACTCAAGTCTCTCCCGCAACCTCCTCTTCCCAGTCTCGCTCGGAGAAACTCCTGTCTCAACATCAGTCTTCTATGCCTGTCTGTTCTTCTCTTCCACCTCCATTTACCTTCCTCCATCCCTAATTGTCCCTGATCCTGCTGTTCTCAGTGTCAAAGCTGTCCGTGAAACCAGTGAATGAATCAGACCCTCCTTAGGGCTTCTGGTTTCACTGCATGGGTTTATCCTTTACCTCCTGCACCTATGAGAGGATACTCCAGGGCAGGGAACCAAGGGCTCTCCCACTTTAATCCTTGGGAGGGAAAGGAGAGAAGCTGCTGGGTCAGGGGTGTCACAAACCAAAAAATCAGCTTTGGTGGCTGCAGTTGCAAATCCCCCTTGAAGCCCCTGACCCTTGGGGACTCTTGGCCTCTGCTCTCATTCGCCTCCCCCTTCTTGCTTGCATGCATCACAGATGTCCCTTTGTCCCCAAAGAGTTGAGGACCTCATGAACCTCCAAGCACGAGGGAATATTCATCTCAACATCCTTGCCACCATACACAGTCCATTTTCTTCTGAGACACCCTGTCTGCCACCACCAGCCTCCCATTCTCAGATTACTTCCACAGGCATCTGTGGACTTGACCCAAGGTAATATGAAAGGGCTGTCCATCACATGGACCCTAGAAGGCACCTGCTCTGAGAAGAGCTGTTTCCTTACCTCCCACACACATTGCTCTGCCTGCCTCTCTGAGCCTGGGAAGCTGCCCCAGGAGTACGTATTCTCAAGCAAGCTTGTGGTGTTTTAATGAGATTTTTTTTCAGGGTTCAAATGTTACTCTTTATCAATGCAGCATTTTAATGGAAGATTCAATATGAAAGATAGGCATTCCTGGGCTCCATATTTGATTTTGGAAGGTGGCACACTCTAGGAGGAAAAAAAAAAGCATGGGGCAGAGGCTCTTAGAGACAAGGCCTGGCTTTGTCTCCATCCTACCATGTGACCAAGGGTGAGTCACATTCCTGCTCAGTGCCTCAGTTTCCCATCTGTAAAATGGGTGGCTTTGATTAAATGAGCTCTGAAGTCTCACCCATCCCTTACATTCCAGGGCGTTCACTCCCCGTTGGCATCCCTTCCCTTCTTTGTATTCCTCCCCACTTCATCTGATCTGCATGCATCCAACTACACCTGCCCTTATGGTGATGTCCTCAGATAACCTAGACAGCCACCAGACACGTCGCCAGAGCCTAGGATGGGCCCCATGGGCTTGGCCACCCAGGGATGCTTTCATACCTGAAGGTGAAGGACCTACCCATTCTACAGCTTGCCAATCATGTGTCAGGGAAGCCTTCTCCTACAGACACACATAACCATCCAAGGTGTCTGTGTCACAGAGGAATTCTGAGTTTGGAGTTTTCATTTTTGACAAGATCCTAATAAGCTGGAGGGAGGCGGTTTCAAATACAGAGGATGGGCTGGAGGAGAAAGGTTTGGAGGTCTGCCCAGGAGGGGATGAAGCTCCTATTTGAGGGCAGCTGGGAAATACATTCAAAGCCCAAAAGAGCATGCCTGTCCAAGGCTCTATGTGGCAGTGGATGTTAACACGTCCCACTCTGCAGCATGTGTCCTGAAGACCAAGTCTGAACACTGAGGCTCCATTCCCACTGGATAAGGGGGAGGCATCACCATTGGGGCTGCAAGGAGGTGGGCACTCACCCCATCCTAGTACCTTCTAGCCCCCTCCTCATGACACTACTGACCTCCCGGTGAAGGCTTGGGAAGCAAGAATGGAGAGTCCAAGTCGGTGTCATCACACTCATCTTGTAAATCAGCCAACACATTAACCTCCCATCATTCAGAGAGATGACGTTGTGTGTTTCCTTACCACCTTCCTTCCCAAGGGAGAAGACCCTGCTCAGCTCTGCTACCCACCCTGCAGTGACCCCAGAATGCCACTCCGCGGGAGAACTCACTCATATGCTTCGTAGTGGCAAATACCCCTCTAGTTCTATAACTCAACTAGACATTTTGTAGTAAATAATTCTTGAAATTCTCTAATAAAAAGCAATTCTTACTGTAATATTTTTAGTTTGGGGACACGATTTCCTAAGGGGGGGATTAATGAACATTTTTATGCATTAGCCCAATTTATGGATTCCGTGTTTATTATACGGTAGTACTGATGAAAAGTACCTTTCTATCTGTACCCTTGCCCAGTTCTTTCATGACTCATATGTAAGCTTTGTGATGAGCAGTGCTCCAGTAACTGCTTCTTCTGTACAAATCTCATTGGTCTACTTACTCGTCGAAGCACATTCTATATGTACTGTAAACATATATCACTTTAGTAAGATTTAGTCTTAAGGATTTTTCCACTTTTGTCAGTAACAGATATTTATGGATTAAAAAAAATAAAGCTGTTTCAACATAACCTGTGTCTCTTAAATCATGTGCTTACTTTGACAGTCAAAACCAAACATCAATACAAAGCAAGAAAGAATTTAGAAAATCCAGAGTTAGGATGGGAGCAACAATTGGCTACAAATGGAGCTAAGGGAACTTTTAGAGTGATAACTGTGTTTTAAAACTGACTGGTAGTGATGGTTGCACAAATGCATAAATCTACTAAGAAAATCACCAAACGGTATGCCTACAATGGGGAAATAGTATTATATAAAAATTAAACTTTAATAATGCTATTAAAAATGAAGAACAAATGGAATATAGGAAAGTATTCCTAGGAAAATGCCACTGGACAAGATATGCCAATTCCAAGCAGATTTAAATTTCTAACTTTGTACCCATTCTCATCTACTCCAACACTATTACTCTTGGACTTTAGGTCTTAGTTTGATTTTAGAGTTAGTCTTTGCAGTTACCCTGAGTGCTTAGAGTACATGTAGCTAAATATCTAGGCCACTTAAGCCAGAAAATCAAGTTGCACCATGAAAACTGATTTAGATTCATAGCTTCGTTCAAGAATCTCTTTCTCTGGACACGTCTTTTGTACTGTTTTCTTTGGCGCATGCTCACTCTTGCTGCTGAGGTCATTTGCTTCGTGTTTCTGAGTTTTCAACTGGATACCAGTATGTTCAAGTTCAACACAGTGTTGTCCAAGAGAGCAGCTGGCCTAACCCCCAACTTCAGTACCTCCACTCCCAGTGTTCGGTCACACTCTCTTGCCAACTCCCTGATTCCTCTGGAAATAAAATCCTTCTCATTGGATGCACTGCACTTTTAGTGACAAACCTTTTTTTTCTTTCCTATTAATGGCATTCATTACCTAGGACAAAATTACAAACCTGTTCACTATTCTTGCTCATTGTAACAAATTACCACTCTTATTCTGAAATGCATTTTCTCATTAGAATAATCACTACTGATCAGGAATTGGTTCTTAACCTTAATGTCTCTATCCTATGGTGCTTCACAGGAAGTCTACACACATGCATGCACACATTACAAGTATACAAGAGCTTCATTAATCTATACCCATTACTGGAACAAAACCCAAAGGAAAACAAAATTCTGAGCAGGAGAAAGTTTTAAGAGTTGTACAATTTCATTATAATGTTTACATATACATATAATGACTAAATTAAATTAAAACATGTTTTCTCATAAAAACTCACAGGGGACATTCTTTATTGAACAGGTAAGAATAATACATAATTAAAAGTAAAATGAGGGGGCCGGCACTGTGGCAAAGTAGGTTAATCCTCCGCCTGAGGCACCGGCATCCCATATGGGCACTGGTTCTAGTCCTGGCTGCTCCACTTCCGATCCAGCTCTCTACTATGGCCTGGGAAAGCAGTGGAAGATGGCGTAAGTCCTTGGGCCCTTTCACCCACATGGGAGACTGGGAAGCAGCTCCTGGCTCCTGGCTTCAGATCGGCACAGCTCCAGCCATTGCAGTGGCATTTGGGGAGTGAACTAGCAGCTGCAAGACCTTTCTCTGTCTCTCCCTCTCCCTCTCTGTAACTCTACCTCTCAAATAAATAAATAAAATCTTAAAAAAAAAAATAAAATGGGGTGAGTGTTTGGTGCAGAGGTTAAGATGTTACTTTGGGATGTCCACATCCCATACAAAGTGCCTGGTTTAAAGTCCTGACTCTGATCCTGATTTCAGCTCCTTGTTAATTCACACCCTGGGAGAAAGCAGGTGGTTACCCAGCTACTTGAGTTTCTGCTATTCACATAGAAGAACCAGACTGAATTCCCAGCTCTTAGCTCCAGCTCCTTGGTCCAGCCCTGGTTGCTGCAGAGTGAACTGGTGGTTGCCATTTCTCTATTTCTCTCTCCTGTCCCCCACTTTCAAAATAAATAAATTAAAAAATGCATTTTTGAAAACTAAAATGGTCATTAGGTATGGGTCAGAGAGTTCTGAACACACTTATAATGGTGCTTCTAAAAATATTTTAAGAATTTTCTTAAATAGGCTAAATATCTCCCTTTAAATATCATTAACTCTACCAATTTGTTTCATTATTTTACTTCTTTTATTCTCAAAGTTAAATCTCAATTAAGCCCCTGTCACAATTGTTGCTAGCTAATTCCAACTTGGTAAGATGTAAATAAATGACAATTTAATGTACCATTATGAATGAGCCAAGGCCAAAGCAAACTCATCTTGGAAGCACTGAGATTCCAGTGGTCTTGGATGGCTTTTCACCTGCAGTGTCACTTTGGATGCTCATTTTCTTGTTCCTCCTCTCTTTATGAATGTGAGAATAAAGTTTAAACTTCTAGAGAGGAACAAGAAAGAGCTTCCCTCAAGGATCTAAGAAGGCTGAGGACCTTTATTGTTTGGGCTGCAAATATCAGGAATGGAAAAGTAGAAAGAGTTTAGAAGCAGAAGTGGGAAAGGAATGCCTTGAAAGTTCCAGAATAAGGGAATCAGTACATTTTATAACATGGATGTGTTGGCCAGTATTATCTCTGGGCTTTGGTTTCCTCTTTTTTTTTTTTTTTTGACAGGCAGAGTTAGACAGTGAGAGAGACAGAGAAAGGTCTTCCTTCCATTAGTTCACCCCCCAAAGGCCGCTACGGCCGGTGCGCTGTGCAGATCTGAAGCCAGGAGCCAGGTGCTTTCTCCTGGTCTCCCATGCGGGTGCAGGGCCCAAGCACTTGGGCCACAGCAGAGAGCTGGCCTGGAAGAGGGGCAAATGGGACAGAATCCGGCGCCCCAACTGGGACTAGAACCCAGGGTACCGGCGCAGCAGGCGGAGGATTAGCCTAGTGAGCGGCGGCGCCGGCCTGGTTTCCTCCTTTTCAACAGTTAGGAAATTAGATGAAGTCTAAGAACTTACATTTGGAATTTGATAATTCAATGATCACAAAACAGTATATACTCAAATTAAATCTGAGATTCTAAGAAGCTAAAAGTACTTGTGAGTTTGCACTGAGCTATTTCTCTTGGTACTACCCATTTTTGCATTCCCATCCCAAGAGAACAGGATACAGTCAAAAAGCACTGGACTGGGAACCAGATCTCATTCATTGTACCTGGTTCTGCCAGCATTTTGCTATGTGACCTGGAAAAACTCACTTCTCCTCTTCAAACTTCAATTTTTCTCATTTAAAACACAATGAATGGGCCAGACCAGGCAATATCTAAAATGATTCTCAGCTTCTGTAGTCTTTGCTTCTGTAACTTCACCAAGACCATGCAGGTAAATAGTGAGCTTATCTGGTATGGTTCATGGCAGAAGGGTAGAGTGAGAATGAGGAAGAGAAAAATCCTTGGCTGGAGCCACCACTCATGAGATCACATCTCCCAAATGTCAGCATATATACCCTTGTGTCAACAAGATGGCTACAGAGAAAGAAAAGATACTGAGTAAGAGGAACAATGGAGTCCTTAGAAAATGGTTTCTGTTTCCAAGAATGCATTTCCACAGAAAGTTTTCAACCATTCTTTATTTCTTTGTGTTTTGCCTTAGAAATAGAGTTGAAACATGTACTCTAGGACCAGGGGTCTTTCCTCAGAGTAGAGAAATTTTTTCACCCCCAGTGTTAATCTCAACTCCAGGTCCCAGGACTGTGGATTGGTAGCAAGTGCAATGTGCTAAGATGCATGCTCTCATTCCCAACTGTGTGCACCTCCATAATTCTTTGTTGGGCAGCTTATAGGAACTATTCCTGCTTGTTCATCACAGCAATTATGGAGAAGACGTTCTTTGCTTCATAAGGGGTATTGGTCTAAATGTTGATATTTTTATTATTTATTTATTTGAAAGTCAGAGTTGTACAGAGATAGGGAGAGACAGAGAGATGAATAGGGGGAGAGAGGAGAGAGGAAAGTGTAGAAAGGAGTGGAGAGAGAGAGAGAGAGAGAGAGGAGAGGAGAGGAGAAGATAGAGAGAGAGAGAGAGAGAGAGAGAGAGAGGTCTTCCATCCACTGGTTCACTCACCAGATGGCTGAAATGGCCAGGGCTGGGCCTGGCAGAAGCCAGGAGTCAGATGTTTCTTCCAGATCTCCCATATGGGTGGCAGAAGCCAAGCACTAGGGCCATCCTCTGCTGTTTTTTCCAGAAGCATTAGCAGGAAGCTGGATCAAAAGTGGAGGAGCCAGGACATGAACCTGCATCCATAAAGGATGCCAACATTGCAGGCAGTGGCTTTACCCCTATACCACAACACCTGCCCCATATGTTGATCTTAATTTTAGAGGGAAGAAACTAAACACCACCAATCTCATTTAGTGTTACCAAATGTGACCCACAGAGCAACACATCAGCACCCTCTGGGAGCTCACTGCAAGGCAGATGTCCTTGCCCACCACTCTAGACCTTCTGAATCAGTATCTCTGCAGGTCCAGAGAACTTGCATTTTAGCAAGATCCTGAGGTGACTCTAATTAACATTAAAGTTTGAGAAGCACATCATTTTGCCTTTTTCTTCGGTTTTGAAATGTTATAATCCTATGATAAGAATAGGGACTTGGAATTCTGGGCATCATAGTAGCCTTGGTCTTCGCAATCTGAGGATTTTAGGCAGCTGGCTTCAGTGAAGAGATTAGAACAAAAGTGAGTTTACAGAGAATCCTAATTATTTAGTAAATGAGGAGAAAGCTGAGGAAGGGTATATAATTATCTATAGGAAAGCTTAGCAGAAGAGAAATTATGTGACTGTTGGACATCATTGTAAGGTTGAGTGGAATTCCCTAAAGACTGCACACACCTGAGTGTGTCAAAATCTGAAGGGAAGAGAATAGAGATAAGGATGTGGATGCAGAACAAGACTCACCCCCTCAGCACAGAAAGGGGGGACGGGGAAGGGCTGCTCCCCTGAAACATCTTGGGAAGTAGAGATGGTGGCCACAGTGAGATAAGGAGAAGGAGCTGCTCAGGGGGGTCTCTCTAGAGGACCCCAGTCTTCTTGGAAGTGTGTGGTGCACAGTCATTGAATCATGCAGGAAAAGCTGCATTAT